GACCACTGGTAGAGAGGCTAGGTGATGTCGAGGGGTTCGAGCAAGGTGTCGTATATGTGTCCTCAGCACTTCTACATTAATGTGGGTCTTGATGAGGTTGTCCCTTGTGATGGCGATAGTCGCCGCTGTTGATGCACTTTGGGGCAAGCCTAAACATATCCGGAGTGCTTGAGCCTGGACACTTTGAAGCATTCGTATGCTTGTTTTACTTGCGTTGGTTAACACAGGTAGGCTGTACCGAAGGAATCCAAGGAAAAGAAACCTGTATAGTCGCAACATAGCAGTTGTGGACATTCCCCAGTTCTTTCCAGCGAAGAACTTGAACAAATGACAGATGCCTGTCAATCGCCTTTTCATGTATGATACATGTGAGCTCCATGAGAGGTCTCTGTCAACTATAACACCTAGGAACTTGTGTGATCTGAGGTGACGTATTCTTTCGTTGTTTATCAGAACGCTGTAGTTATGCATTGGTTTGCGCGTAAACGCCACTAGTGCACATTTCTCAGAGGAAATTTCCAGACCTCGTTGACGGAGGTAAATAGCAACTTGAGTGGCAGCTCTCTGAATTCGCGCTCGCAGCTGTAGACGTGTTACTGCAGACGTCCAAACGCAGATGTCGTCCGCGTACATTGACAATCTGACAGTACTTGGCAGATGCTCATTTAGAGCTATTAGCGTCAGGTTGAATAGTACAGGGCTAAGTATGCCACCCTGGGAACACCACGGTGGCTGTAGTGTAGCGAAGTGTCACCATCCTCGGTTCTCACGAAAAAGGATCGCTCAGAGAGATAGCTGCGTAGCCATTGAAACATCCGACCACCCACTCCTACCTCCTTGAGAGCGGTGAGGACAGCTTCATGTGTGACGTTATCGTACGCCCCTTTAACATCAAGAAATAAAGAAGCGCAGAGACGCTTACGGCCTTTTTCGTGCTGCACGTAGGTGACCAGGTCTATGACGCTATCAATTGATGACCGGCCACGGCGAAATCCCGTCATAGCGTCCGGGTAGATGTTGTGATGCTCCAGGAACCATTCTAGCCGTCCAAGTACCATCCTCTCCATCACTTTGCACAAGCAACTAGCCAGTGCAATCGGGCGGTATGATGTGAGCACCAATGGTGACTTGCCAGGCTTCAGTAATGGAACCAAACGGCTGGTCTTCCAGTTAACTGGGAGGGTGCCCTCTCGCCACGAGTCGTTGTATATCTCGAGGAGGGCACTCCTCGCACACTCACCAAGGTGACACAGTGCTCTGTATGATATTCCATCAGGCCCGGGTGCTGATGTCCGTCTACACAAAGCCAGTGCTGCTTGAAGCTCATGAATAGAAAAAAAAATGGTCCATGGGGTGATCGTGTGATGTCGTGCCACCGCGTGAGAGCGTGGAGATGTTGGGATCTGCGAGTTGACCAGATAAGTTGGCACAGAACTCTTCTGCCACGTCGACCTCCGATCTCTGTTGAGAGAGGGCTAGAGCCTTGAATGGAGACCGCTGAATGGGAGATGTCCGGAGCCCTCTTATTGTCCTCCACAAGTGTGATAAGGCTTGCGAGGATCTAACGAAGCGCAGAAGGCTGCCCAACGTTGTGACTCTAGCTTGTCTATGCGGCGTTGTATCTTCTTCTGAAGACGTCTAGCGATTCGTAAATCGTCGATTGCTTTCGTGCGTCGGTACCTTCGTTCCGCACGCCGTCGGAGAGCCCGAAGTCGTTCTAATTCCACATCAAATTCGGTTACTCTCGAAGAGCATGTGAGGGTGCACACTGTGTCTTGCACTGTGGACTTGATCACCTCTTCTAAGTCAAATGAGGTGTTCTCTTGACAGCGTTCTTCCATGAGAGATTCAAACTTGGTCCAGTCTACTCTTTGGATAGTTTCGCGTACCTTGCAAGGTGATAATCCTCTGATCTTGACATATGTGGGAATGTGGTCGCTCCCATGTGTTTCTATGTCCGCAAACCATCCGGCACATCTGACAAGACCTCGAGAAACAAAAGTCAAGTCAAGGCAACTGCTGTATCCAGGGCCACGTAAAAATGTTGGGCTTCCATCATTTAACAAGTACAGCTCGTTGTCTGAAGCAAACGTTATCAGACTTCTACCCTTTGCGCTGATCTTCGGGCTCCCCCATAGCGTATGGTGGGCGTTGAAGTCTCCGATGATCACCCATGGGCCAGGAGTGGATGATAGGATGTGTCCTAGTCTTCTGTGGTCAAATCTACTTGATGGCGACAGGTATGCACCGACAACAGTGACAGTAAGACCCCTTTTCTTCACTGTTAAGCATATATATTGGTTATCGTTGTCAGGTGGTACAGGCCGAATAATGTAGGTCAGGTCACGTCGAATAAACAGCAGGACCTTGCTGTTTCCACTATAACAAGCCGACATAAAGGATTCGTATCCGGAGAGTCTAATAGCGCTCGATAAATTTGGCTCGCAGATGACGATGATGGGAAACATATTAGTGAAAACGAACCGACGGAAATCTGCAATGCATGATTTCAGTCCCCGTGCATTCCACTGAAAAATTGTTGCTTTTTTTGACCTCTTCCCTGAAAGACAGTGGCTGGTGGGCCATTATCTACTCAAGAGCCGCCAGTACTGGACTCAGAGCGTCCAGTACTTGAAGTGCACTTTTGGCTGACGTTGTGCGCATGTTGTTTAACACAGTGCGAATGGCATTAATTATGGGTCGTAGAAGAGCAATCACTTGCTTATCCAAGTTCCGCTGCTCCTCTGTTGTCGCAGCTTGCTCTGATGAATGCGGCTTCTGATGTGGTTCTTCCACAAGTTGCGTGCGCGTAAGTGGCGGCCAATCTTCAGTAGAGAGAGATCTACTTGTTTTCTGTTTTCCATCGTCTGCGTTCGCCGCGGTGTACCCTGCAGTGGGCGCCGTTAACAGATGCGTTGGCTTACTTCTTGTAGTTGACTGCGTTCTTCGCGAAGATCTTCGACGGTGACGTCGTCGTCTTCGCCGGACTTTTTCCGCGGCCTCTTTGTGGGTAGAGCTATCTCGCACCATTTGTCTAAGAATAGTAAACTCCTTCTTTATGCGTGGACAGTCTTTGGAAGATGCACTGTGGGCACCTTGACAATTAGGGCACTTTAGTATGGTTGCGCTGCATTTGTCCTCGGTATGTGGTTCTGAGCATCGGGGGCACACTTCGGAGTTCCTGCACGCTCCCTGCACATGGCCGATCTTCTGGCACTTATGACAACGCATAGGTTTTGGAATAAATGGTCGGACCTGGTGACGAAAGTGGCCAACCTTCACATGGGAGGGGAGACAGTCCCCTTTGAACGTAATTCTCACACAATGTGTGTTGCCAAGGCGACTGACATTCACAATGACGTTATCTTCATTTGCCGGTTTTATTAGCACTGAAAGATCCGATTCTGTAATTTCAGTGGCGATGTCATAAATTACTCCTGTTGACGTGGTGCTATCAGCTGGTATTATAGACTTGACATTGATGTTACCCAGTTGCGTTACTTTCTGAAGCGCGTTTAGCGCACGTGGGTTCAGCACATCGATTGCCAAGATGTTCTTTCTTGCGTTTAGACGTATTTCTTTGATCTGATTTGGCGTAATATTCTCGAGATACACAGAGAGCGCTTGCCTGTTTAGCCCGCGTAGACTGTCGGTAGCCTTCAGTGGCACAAACAGGATAGAGTGAGGCCATCGCTGAGGGGCAGTTTTCACGGTAGTTGTGCTTGATGCCGAAGATGCATTGACGATCCGTCGTTTAGCCTTGCGGTACAGGACGGGTTGGAAGCCGTCGTCCGAGGACTCGTCGCTTGATGCGGAGTATAGCTCAGTGTCCTCACTCTCACTGGACGCGTTTCCTCGCTTCCTCAAAGCAGTCCCAGCGGTCGAACCGGACTCGGACGGTGCCCCGTGAGATTGAACATCCATCACCACGATATATGGGGCGATAGACCCCACAACTGCGGCGAAAAAACCAGAAAAGCACAAAGACGAGCAAGATGTGTTCCGTCAAAGAATCACTTCGTCTTCTCACTACCAGCTAGGTCACATTTTCATACATACCTATGAAGGCAAGACCGACCTGCAAACTAATCACTACATATCACTACATTATATCAATTTAAGTATTTTATAATTGCAGTGAAGAAAATCAGCGAGAAATGCTTGTACGATGATGTTATTTGTGCGGGAGACCTCTAAAACTTAAAATATTATTTTTTTTGTTCAAAATAGTGGTTGCGGCTGGGTGTGTACACAGGGAAATATTGCCATAATTACTGGAACTGAGAAATATTTTTATAATTACTCCTAATGGAAACGAGCCACGATGCTGACATGTTTCGTCAACCAACCAGGAATTTTGAATTTTTAACTATTGATTCATGTTTTTGATGAAAAACTGTAGTTCTAGCTTAACGTGCAACGCCTCATCCTAGCTATGATTACGCAGGAGCGTGGAAGTCATATTTACGCGACTTCTCCCACCTCAGCACGGTCCCCTGGTTTTCGTTCGTTCCCATTAAGTACATATTAACATGGACACGCACACAAACACATAAACAGAGACATCACGGCTTTTTGCTCATTAAGTGAGCCCTTTTCTAGAGCTCGGACGGTGAGCGTTTCAGTTGACCGACGGACGAAACCACGTAAATCAACCCACATGTGGACCTGACACGCAAGTGAGCTTCAGATATTGTGCAGTGCAACAGTTACATTTCGGGTGCCACCCCGAGGACCATTAGTCGTCCTCCGAGTCGGCCCGAACGCCACCAATCCGAAACTCGGGATGGTGGACCGGCGCGCGCATCCGATTTGGCTCCCATCGATGGGATCACTCCACGTGCTCCGCGCGCACTCGCGCGTGCGGTGGCGCTGACGCCGTCAAAAAAGCCGCGCTCCGCGTGGCGCGCCGTTTGTCCCGAACGTCTCCGATCGAAAGAAGAACGGCGGTAAGGCAAAAGAGCGCGAGCTGCGTCAGTGCGCGGTTTGCGGCGTCTCACCGTTGCTGAAGCTGAAGGCGAGCAGAAGGAGCAGCACGCGGTCTCCGGCGGGCAAACCCATGGCGCGGTAGCGGCTGTGCATCCCAACGCGCGCTGCCGGGCGCTTCTCCTCCACCTGTGAAACAGAAACAGCGCCCCGCCGGCGTCCCGGGTGCAGGGCCGACCGGCATGCATCGTCGCGCCCTCGCCCACCGACCTCCTCGCCCCCCTGCCGCTCACTTTGTCCCCAGCATCCGCCCCCCTGAAGCAAAGTTGAGCCTTCGCCCGGCGGCTGCAGCCCTCGCTCGGACGCGCCAGCTGGACCGCACAAGAGTCGGTTAGCCTTCGCCAGAACAATGGTCCTTCGGGAGACTCGTTATTAGCTCACAGCGTCCACCGCAGTAAACCAAAAGCCATGCACGGTCACCGGATCGGAACGGCGGGGGGAAGCAGGGGATAGTTGCTCGTGCTCGCGGTGGAGCTGTGAGGGAGAGAGCGGTGGTGCGACCGTCCGAGGGGGCGAGCCAGTTGAAGGAAACCAAGCGAAACCGAATCTGCCGCCACAGCAGGCAGCGCCATCTCGGGAAAGCGGTTGGAACTGACAAACTAAGTTCTTATTGGTCGGTGCCGTGCTGTCGGGCGGTGCTGGCGCCCTTTAGCGGACACGTGGTGCGCTGCTCTGGCACGGCGAGCGGCGAGCGAGGGCCCCTTCCGAGCAGCGTTCCCATCATTGATCCCAGCGCGGCGGTCGGTCCGCTGCTGAGTGAGCCGGAGTGAGTGCGCCGTCAACGTTGCTTGGCCCCCGACTGTGTTGTGGCTCGTCCCCGGACAGCACGCCGTGTGGAGGAGACAGACATGCGCCGCGTCCCTCGGAAACCCTGGTGCGTGCCCGGATGAGACGCGGACGTTGGTTGATCCGGAAGTAGTGGACGCACAAGCTGCTCTGCTAGTGTGTCTTCCTTCGTTCGTGAGGTGCGCGGCTGGTCAATGACGGTGTACCGTTCTCGGCCCCGAAACGAAAGAACCCACTGCCCGGGCCGTCGTGCGAAAGACCATCGGCCCGGAGTGATGGTGTACGTTCTCGTGCCACCGTTGCTGCTTCTCCTGTCGGCGATCATCGGAATAGGTCCCGACTTCGCTTCAGGTGAGCCACCCTACTTTGGCACCTGGCAGTTTGTACCTGCTGCATTTTTTTTTGGGTGCCGGAAGGAGGAACCGTTAAGGGTGCGTGGTTGCGAAATTCTTGTTGGAGCAGCAGACGTCAGCTCACAAATATTGGGGCGTACGTGGTAGGAAAACTTCAAATATAGCCTATACATAATTTTATGACGCCATGGTAATCAGCTACGTGTCTGACAGTTCTGGGTAACATCAGGATATGGGTCACAAAATTCCCTCGTGTACTCAGAGAGGAAGTCGCACTGCGTAAATGATGCGTCATGACAGGTCTCATTTGTGTACTTTGAGATCTGTTGGTATCGTAATTTTTTATTGCGTAAGCTTAACTTATTATTATTATTATTATTATTATTATTATTATTATTATTATTATTATTATTATTATCTTTTACGAATATCTGCCTGTTCTGTTTCCTCCACGTGAGGTTGCTGCCTCACTTCTCTATTGAATTATGTTTTGAACCAGTGATGGGGATATACGTAAGATTTCTTTGAGTCTGCTTCGATGGTAGAGTAAGAAAAGAAGACAGGACGCTTCACTATGTCTCGTGTTTTATGCAGGCGTTCAGTTCTCCTTCACCGAGAGAGACGCAGGTGCATTAGCGCAATCTTTGTATAGGAGGCATTTAGCGTTTTCGCGCAGTGCGATCAGCCAACTTCGATTTATTACTTCGTCGCACCCCTCTCACCTGGTACTGCTACTTAATCACGTCTGCTACTTAATGTCTGCTGCTTTATCACAATACTTTAGTTCTCATTTTTTCTGTTCCCTTTTTGACAAACTCGTACGGCCAAAGTTCTCGGTACCAGCGCATTAACACGGGCAAAGGATTTCGAAAGTTACCACAACCGCGCGTGGAGGAACCGCGTCCGAAGACCTTCCACGGTTTCCGATACAGGCGTCGCCCACCCGTTTTCCTACGGCGCTCCATGGAACTCCGGACTACGAAGGCAGCAAGAAACCGACGACTGCGACCTCAGTGGGATGCCGGGTGTTTCGGGAGAAGCTCTCGCCGTACACGCATGACTGCGTAACAGACCGTGGGCGCAGCTTTTAGGAAACCCCTGCAGCTCCCGGCTTGGCGCACTCGCTAGCGAAGCGATCGTCAGCTTGGGAATTGCTCATGTTTTTTCTCGCACAGTCTCACCCAGTACAGGCTCGGCTGGCGGGCTCGGGGATGAGGGGCGAAGACAAATGTTGTCGAAGGTGAGGCAATCGGAGCCCATTCGTTGGTTCTCGGGAAGAAAGAACGAAAGGTATAGGTGGCGAAGTTTTTAACTACGGCAATATAAAAAAAAGGACGAGAATTCGTGTTCCTGCAGATGTAACTCGGCTATATGGGGGTTCTTTTTTTTTTTTTTACGGTTGTTTTTTCCGTCAGCCTGAGAGAAGAGTCTCGATGAATTACCGTCGCGCAGAAAAAGGAAAATTGCGAGAGACTGCGCGGGGGAGTCTAAAAGCACCGACGACGCTCTCTGCTTCGGGACTGATGTAGAAACGATGCGATCGAGAAAGGCGAGATTTTCCGCTTTTTTTTTTTCTCGTCTCTTTCCGAAAGCTCGTCGCGCGCTTACCTTCGTTCTCCCGCTTCTTGGAATGACAAGAAGAAATAAAATAAATGGCGGACACCGGGTTAAATCTCGGAGGATCGCGTATGGTTTCGACACTCGTTGGCGCGCAGCAGCGAAGGCACAAATGTAAATAAGCGAACGCACTTCGTGTTCCAATCGTGATGAATGCATTGCGTCACGTACGCTTGCACAGCTGGGAATAAGTGTCGCCTCCGGAGTGGAATTTTGCCGCTCGACAACAGCTATACAGACCGACGCGAGGAAAAGCCGAGGGCTGAGCAAAGGAAAGGCTTTGAATCTCCGCCACCGCATCTCGTATCGCCAGCTCTCCCAGCATTCTTGTTGTCTTGTTGCGTACATAGGGTCTGTCTCGTCGTCGCAAACTTTGTAATCACTAACTGGCTCTCGGTGGGCTCTGAAGTTGCAAATAAGATGTTGCAAGTGAAGCATGTTTTGCTGTCGCGCTGAAGCGTGGCTTTATTTGCGCTGAGTCGAGCAGCGGAATTCATTTTTTTTTCGAACCAGTCAGGAGTATGCGTGTTATTCTCTGTAGCTATACTGAAGCTAAAAAAAAAAAAAGCGTTCCAGGGGGATGAAACGTCATCCTTGTTTTACATTCTCGAAAGAAATTGTTGATTATGTAGTCGAATGACTGAGCAATCGAATGCACAGTGCGATGCAGCTTCAAGCTGCATACTGCAGTTTACTAGCTTCGAAAGATTTTGTCTTGTCTGAAGGAAAAACCTCGCTGCCTAATCTGCATCAGTTGTTAATTAGCATTGAGAGAGCATTATGAGCTTTTTCGCAATCAGAATAATTATTCAACTTTGAAACTATTGACTGGTTTATTGTTCTTACAATGTCTTGGTTCACTTCGAATTCAATCTGTTTTAATTTACGAAAGAAAATAAGCGTATATGCTTATTTTCTTTTATAATATTTCATTGCACCACACATTATAGCTCTCTTATGAAGATGGCTGCACGACACAATAGATTTGTACGGTGCCTTTGAAAAGTATTCTCGCAATCTTTATCAGGAAAAAGGATCAAGCACAACATATGTTTTAGAAATTCCGCTTGTCTAATGGAAAACAATACCACACCGCGGCTTTGGTTGCACATTATTTCGACGGGACTCGAGACGAACTTCCTATGCAGTCGTCAAAATAATCACGCTCGCTTATTTCGCTTTCTACTGATGTTTTCCGACGCAACCTACCGCTCCAGCTGGCGACCACCCTCGCAAGTTTCGACATCTTTTGTGAGCACAGACGGCAGCGCTTCCCGAAAGCCCCCTTTTCAACCACTGCTCACCCGCGGTTATTAAAATTCGAACGCGCTCGCCTCCACGACTTCAGTTTGCTCAGGAAGTTCGCGCGATGCACATTTCCGTTCGTACCGGCTTCCGATGTTTGCAGATACGTACCGAGCTATGCTTCGCGCGCAACAGAGCTCATTTCTCTGGCGCCCCCGCAAGTGGCGTCGCGAAACCAAATAAACGACAAAGTTCGCAGTTCGGCTCCTATTCAGAGCTCCGTATACACAGGCGCGGCGGCAGCGCCACATTTCGCGTACTCGTCCTCGATTTCGGAGTGGGTTGGGCGAGAAAACAATCGGGGATTTCGGGAAAACCGCAAGGTGGCTTTGCCGCAGTGCCTCCGCGACGACGGTGGGGCGATTCGCGGCGCGCGCGCAATTTCGCATCGCCGCGGTCGCTGCCGCCTCATGGGAAGCGTCTGAATGCGTGCGCTCTTCGCCCCCCCCCCCCCTCGGTCATTTTGCGTCAAGAAGATGGCCCATTGTTTCATTGCGAGCGAGAAGAAACCGCGGTTCGAAGCACAACGCAGAACACAATGCCCCGCCGTCCCGCGCTCTCTCTCTCTCCATGCCTTCTCGTCGCGTCTAGCTCGGCGGTCGAGCCCCGTCCCGTGAAAGTTCATACTAGTATGAAGCCTTCGGCGTCTTAGTGTTAAAGCACAAGTTTGTGCACAAGTGTGTTCACTGATGTGCGTTAGTACGTGTGCGTGTGCTTACGATGCATATGTGCACACCCGTGCATGTAGTGAGCCTGAACGTAAGGCCGAGCCGCTGGGTTCTCTCTTTCTCTCTCAATATGTGCTGCGGTGCGTGCGTGCTTGTATATGTGCGTATTCCGTACCTGCGTGGACGGGTTGCTCGTGTCCGTGTGTGTGTGCGGGCTCGCTTGCGTGACAAGCCGCCACACCTGATTTTGGAGTTGCGAGACCGCGACGGGAGGGTTTCTACGGCACTTCGCCGGCGCCGCTGCTGACGCCATGCTGTCGCTCGTTGTTCTCGCGAGTCGCACGGTGCGCGCTGACCGACGCTAATTGCTCGCGCGCATTCAGTCCGCGAAGACGATGCTGTGGTGTATACGCGCCTCCCCCTTTTGTTCCTCTTTTTTTTATTTCGGGCCCTTGACGGCCTGGTTTCCACCATTTTTGCTCGTATCTCATCTCGCAGTTTTGTTTTTTTTTTCTTGCTTAGATTTTTTGTTTGTGACGCGTAAGCCTGCTTCACCGTGTTAGTCATCCGGACGTAGCGGCGAGGAAAGACGAATCGCTTTGCAACGCCTTGCGAATCGTTTGCGAAAACGGGCTTCGCTTTAACCACGCGTAAAACGTGACACTGTCCTGGCATAGAACCGAGAAGACAAGACGGTGCCGGATGCAATGTCAAAATCTAGGCCACAGTCGCAAGAGTCCTACCATATATGTTGCAATCAGCGGGTGACGCAAGTAGATGACCTGACAAATCAAAACGATACTCCTAAGGAAGGAAACGGAAATGAAGGAGGTAGCAAGGCTAAACAGATAAACGTCACTCTGCTTAACCGGGTAGGGTAGAGAAAATAAATTTAAATATGGAGATAAACAATGGAGTAAAGATGTGGGATATTCACGCACTAGTGCAGGACTGCACCCTTTAGTCAACGGTGTTCGCACAGGCGGGTCGTCCTCGAGAAATACAAAGGTTGCACGCTTAACTGTTGCGTCTCTTCACTTGTTGACAATTGCGCGCATGTTTCGCATGGTCTCGAAATGGCGAACCAGTGTTGACCAGCCTCATTAAAATACTCTCCAAGATGTGTTTTCGGAGCGGGGAGTTTTACGTGCCAAGGAAGCACCGACGCTCTGTGCGGCAGCTTACCATAAATGAAATTTTGGCTCCATAGAGGTTTTGGAGCCTGTATTCGAGGAAAGTGTTCGTGACTCTGCATACCCCTGATATACCTGTCTTGAGTCTATTGTTGTGCAAGAATGAATTTTAAAGTTAGCCGAATACCGGCCGTCCTGCCTGTGATTTAATGCGCGACTTCGTGCGACATTTCAGAATGCCATGATCATCGACCATCCGGGCGTCGGGCGCATTT